CTTATATTATCATTAATAGCAGCACAAATAGTATCAGCTGTTATCAGCATCAATTTTACTGTTAGTATAAGTTGTGATGGCAATTGATTTTCCAAAATCGAAAGTAAATGGGAAGCCGACAACCCGCGTAGAGTTATAGTCTAAATATCCATTTAAAAGTATCATTGTCCAAAATCAACTGTTTCCCAACATCTTTAATTAGCTTTTTCGTTTCGGTTATCGTTTGGCAGTCCTGCTAAGAGACTTGCCATGTAGAAACATACCCACTTTTAGTCGAAAACACTGGTGGTAAAGACTACAGGCGCCCCAAGCTCATGTCTTGAGAAATAACAAAAGATGACTTCCTGAAAGCGTCATAAGTGTGACGCGATGTTAAGTTACGAGCGGAACCGTTGAGAATTTGAAAGCGTTATGAGGAACAGTATGGGGAACGAAATATGGTCGATTTACAACACTAAGTATTACAAAATAAAAACATTTTACACGTAAGATTAATAAAACTTGTTCAATCCTTGTTTGTCCGTTGTATTCAAATCATACGTGCTCGCAATCAGAAGTTCTTCTACATATTTCAAACAATCAATTAATCATTCCACCTTAAACAAACTTACCATTCAACTGAACTAAGATACGAAGTGCCATCGTATCTTCCAACAACCACATAAATAAAGCCGTCAAGGACTCTTGCTCCACATCCACTCCATGGAGTAGTCATTGGCGCCACCGGCACCTACTCATCCTTGCCAGGATCGTACTTCTCTACTGTGTCATACCTATGGCCGTGATCACAACCTCCGATGGCATTAAGTACCAGAATACTCCCAGAGTAGCTAGGCCTACTTGTTTTTCCACAGAAAAGATATGAGTTCCACTGCAGGTAGTGAAAATTGTTACAGGCTATATATTAATTGACCAAGTACTGCCAACACCGATCCTTACCTTATAGTATTAAAGCGTATCTCCTGGAATGGGGCGGGGAAGGCTGGGGGGAAGAGGGGTGTATTCTGGCATATGTTGCCACCCGGTAACACTTACTTATGGCAGTGTTACTTATGCCGTAAAAGTTTCCTAACTCTTCAATCGATTGAATTAAACCCTCAGTGTGAGTGAGCATACAGAGCAATGCTTTCATGTGGTATTCGTCTGACTGCTATATTGGTGAACTCGTGAAATTACATCCAAGCATTTTTGTTTCTGCTTTTGCGTTTTCTCTTTTGTTATCAACTATTTAGTTAGTTTATGATTAGTTGGTCAGTTAGTCAGTTTAGTAAGATTTAAACATTGGTTTACATTTAAAATGTACCTACTGTATGAAATCAATTACCGAAGTTAGGTTTGAGATACAGCGATAAGTTTTTGAACTGCGACAGTCTTGTCAAAAACTCGTCAAAATCATGCTAACTGAAATCTGTTCTGTGACATCATCACATGTAACAGGGTGTGTTCATTTGATTCGCGTTGATCAGACATATGAAAGTTAAATCGCCTAGAATCAGATTCGACTAGAAAAGGGGTTCGTGATTAAAGCATTACGAAGTACCAGATTTATTTTTAAAATGACCCATCGCCTTTTATTTTAGTTTTGTCTCATTTCAGTAAGTTTTAGGCCAACAATTCCTTGTAACTTGTCACGCAAGAACGAGTTGTTATCAAAGTGTTCACAAATGTCACGTATGGCATGTATGAGTAAAATTCCATGATTAAATTTTTACGCCAAAAGTTATATGACTGAAAATGAGACGTATTGCTGGAAGAAAGAAACATACTTTTTGAGGTATTTTTAACCCAAAATCTTTTTTTTCTCTGACGATGTCTTTTCGATACTGTCCCAACGAAGTTTGAGGCATCTGGAATTTTAACAATTCTTAATCTGTTTTCCAATATCGCGCAGATTTGCGTGGCGTTTCTGAAAGCACAGATAGCATCCGAGTTTATAGTTAATAATAGGTGGAAATTCGTTAAATGTGTCATACAGAAAAAATGGGTAGTGAAATCTAAGTAGCTTAAACACGAAGGTTAGGTACCTTAGGTACCTCTGGACCAGTTGTCAATCAACCGTCGTGTGATGTAGAACTCTAAGAGTCAAGTAAGCTTGAGCTATAGCTAATCTAAAGCAGTGAACAGCGGGCGCGTTCCTCAAAATTGTTTTATGTTTTCATCACAATACAAGAATTTTTGAGATTTGTATTTCCTTTCTCCAATGGAAACTGTCTTTATTTGTGGCGGTGAATTTGAAATGGAAGTAGGTGGTTCGCACGTTACATCATTGCCACCATGCTGGAGGAAGTAAACATTTCATTAGCTCTTTTTGTTCGTCTACCAGGCACCTAAGGGACCTCTCCTTTTAAAGCCTTTCGTGTTTAATAGCTATGATTGTAAAGCGCTATTGATCAGCTATATAAATTGGTAAATCATTAAAATTAGTTATTAGTGTTTAAGTAAAAAAAGGTAAGGACAACAACCTAAATAGCCGAAAAAAATATCAAGAGAAAAACTAATCTGATACAAAAAACGCAATGACAAATATCTACACTGATAACTGAGACAAAAGCGAACGAAGCCAAAAGCTGATACCAGCAAGATTATCAAATTTAAGACTGCCTTGCAAAATGTTTCAAAATAAAGTTCCAATAAATTATAAAATTGTTTTTGCAAATCGTTTATTCTTCCACTTCTTGTGCCATAAAGAACGAAAAATATAACTAGAACTATGCTAAATCGTTTCGTAAGTTAGCTCGACAAAGGCGTACTAATGACACCGAACTCGCACATTTTCATTTTCATTACTTTTACCTGTCTATGCAGATTGCAACATTTAATTTAGTCAAAAGGTGATAAAATAGTTAAACTGAGATAATCCCTTTGAAATTCCTGAACTCGAT